CTATATTAAATAGGATTATTACTAGCTTTTACTGTAATTAAGTAGTAGATATAGCCCTATAAGCGCTATAAAGTAAACTAAAGGCTATATAAATTAACTAAAAGCTTTTAGTATAAACTTAGCTGCTATATAGAGAGGCTAGATAAGGTACTAAATAAGATGCTTAAGTAGCTTAGTAATATTAACCTAATTAAGTCAGTATTAACTTTATTTAGCTAAAAGTAGCAGTTAAATATAATAAATAGGTATAGTATATATTAATAGCAATATTTATGCTATTATATCTAGATCTAGCTACTTAGGTATAATAAAGCTAAGGCAGAATATAGTATCTAATTTACTAAAAATTAATAGAATTCTCTAGTTAATATTATTTAATAACTTAATACTATTATAGATAAGAGGAAAAAGTAGAGGCAGTAATAGGTCTTAAAGGTCAGTAGAGAAAGTAATAATAATAAAAAAAGCACTAAAAGTAAAGAAAAGAGAGACCTTAATAAAAAGGCACTTAATAAGGCTATCTTTAATTTCTGCATTAAGTTAATTAAGTAAAAGCTTAAAAGAAAGCAGTATTATAACCTATTACTTTACTTTATAGCTATATTAGATATTAAGAAGGATAGTATATAGGTTCTGTCCTATATATATACTTAATTTCTTACTAGCTTTTTATAGTATAGGCAGATTTTAATATTAAAGCACTTCTTTAAAGATAATCTATATAACTCTAAAGACTTAACTTATAATATAAGTTTTATAGCTATTAATTAGTTTTAAAAAGGTTATTATAATTAGCTTATAACTGGCTTATATATATTATTTAGTATTATTATTTAGTAAATAATATATAGATAGGGCTATTATAATTAAGAAGGTAGGTAAGTAAAGGTATTATAAGACAGTAATAATATAATACTTAACTATTTAGGCAATAAGATTACTATAGGCAGCTTTTAGCAGATAGTATAGGCATTTATATAGAAAGCTAAAAGCTAGCTAAATAAGCTTATAGGCAGGCAATAAAGTTAGATCTATAAAATAATATAGCTATAAGATATTATTAATAGTTTAGTATTTAAAGGCCTAAGGCAGTTATTTATAATAAACTAGAGAAATATATAACTAAAGCTAAATATTAAAAAGTTAATAAGACTAATAGATATAATACTATAGAAAATTATTAATATAGAAAATAGCAGTAGTTAGGTTAAGTGCTAAAGACAGGTAATAAAGAAGTATTTTAGTTAGCTATAGTAATTCTAGTTAAATATATTTTTAGTTATATATATATAGAGAGGATAGCCTAAATAAAGTCTAGAAGTATTAATACTAAAGTACTGCAATACTAAATAGCTACTAAAAAATATATTTATCTTTAATAGATAGGTAGTATTTATTATAAACTAAAATAAAAGTAAGGGCTTAAATAGTAAATAAGGCTAAAAGGTAATATATTTCTTGCCTATTATATTAGCTCTTTAGTATTTAAGGCCTATTTAAGGCAATTAGCCTATAACTATAGAAGTTAGCTAAAAAGGGGCTTTAAGATATAGTAAAGTTAAGTAAGTAGCTTATACTAGTTACTAGTATATAGATTAGGGTATAGCTTACTATTTTAAGCTATTAGTATATAGCTATTAAAATAGGTTATTAAATTAAGGGATTAATTATTTAATAAGTTAAGCTAAAAGCTACTATAGTAAATAGTAATAATAAGGCAGCTAATCTATTAACTAAAGAAATATATTAATAACTAAAAGTTAAGTATATATAGGATATTTAAGTAATATATAGAAGTTAGATTATATAGAATTACTATACTATTAATTTTTAATTCTTAAGTTAGCTATAGCTAGAGATATTATTAAATTTCTAGGAGATTAATTATTTATAATACTAATTTCTAGCCTAAATTAATAGTAATTTTAATAATAGAAAATACTAGACTTATACTTATAATAATAATAATATACTAATTGCTAATAGAGCAGTAAAGAGACAATAACTTATTATTAACTAAAAGGTATATATAATAATAGTATTTATTACTTTACTGTTTTATATATAATATACTATAACTAAAATAGGTTAAGGTTAGTAATAAGATAAAAGGAAGTATACTATAGAGTAAGATATAAAAGTAAGTTTATAACTAATATATAACTGCTATTAGTAGGTAACTTTATTAAGACTCTTACTAAATAGTAATATAGCCTGCTGCTATAAGGATATAAAGATTAATATAGGGCTAAAGTATATATTAAATAAAGATATAGGATAGAAGATATTACAGTAGTAAGATAATATATACTGCATTATATAACTAAAGAATAATAGTATTTAAAGTAAGCTGCTTATTATAGTGCTGCTAATAGGCAGTAATAAAAGTATCTTCTTTATACTACTAGCTTTTATAGAAGATAAATAAAGTAGGGATAAAGGACTAATTAGTATTATAGTTATTCTATTTATATTTTTTATATAGGATTTAGTTTTAAGAGTATATAAGTTTAATATTAATTATATAGAGTAAAGAAGTAATATCGATTAAGAAAGAGAGAAATAGCAGTAAGATATACAGTTAATAGTAGTTAGTGCTAATATAGCTATAAGTAAAGGATTTATTATATATATTAAAAGTATTTAGGGTTAAGGGTTACTAAAAAGGGTATTTTTTAATAAGTATTATATTACTATTATAGATATTAGCTACTAAAAGTAATTAAAGCTATTAATAAGGCTATATTAGTTTAGGTGCCTGGTCTTTAGTCTAGGTGTTATTCTGGCTAAATAAACACTTAAAGTTAGTAAAATTATATAGCAGTTATAGGTAATATACAGGCTATTTACCTAAAATAATATTTCTTTAGGATAGTAATAATAATTAAGTCTAAAGCAGATAAACCCTAACCTTAAGTTAATAGAGAATTAATACTAAATATTAATAATAAGGCTAGAAAATAGTAAGGGAGGAAAGAGTTTAATTAATTAATTAAATATAGATAAATAATAATTTAGAATAGAGTTTATATATTACTATAGTAATAATAAAAGTAAGTCTAATAGAAGTTATAATAAATAATAATAGTATTATTATTTAGACTTAACTAGATTTAAGTGTTATATTAATAGCCTAGTTATTACTATAACTATAATAGATAATATAGTAGATTAAGTAATCTAGCTTTATAAATAACTTAATGTCTTACTTTATTTAATCTATAAGGCAGCTATTAAGCCTAAAATAGATAAGGTAAAGCATTACTATTATAACTGCTATAAAACTGTTAGGGAGTAGCTATAAGCAGTAATTATATTA